TGGTCATCTCTGCCCACCACCCCCCAAACTTGCTCTGCCTCCACCTCCAGAGTGCCAACCTATATGGGTTATTTGATAGGTATTATCAGAGTCCCAGGCCGTTCTGGATAAAGTTAGGTTTATGAAGGTGGAGCTAGGAATGCATTAGAGAAATCATTGCTCAAATTGACAGAAGAATGGATTTGAGCTCCTGCAGCAGTGGAGGTGGTGAGATAAGAGTTGTGAGTGAGAGGAGCATTGGAGGGATCCTTTTGATTGTTTTCAAATACTGTAAAACCTTGTTACAAAGTGTTTCATTTTTAAGCAGGTTCACTTTTTGCATAGTTGGGGTATGGATCCAAACATTTACTTACCCAAATATTCCAAATGAGTAGGCCCACTCCATTGGCACGTCAAAGCAGGGAAAGCTAAAATCATCAGGTCGAACACTGACATCACCTCCTGCATGTAGCACATATGCAGTGCACAGGAAGTGATATCAGCAGCGATCTAATGGCCCAAAAGTCAGCCGTTTTGGTTTCCCCATGCTAGCGGTGATTTGTCTTTCTGCTCATATATTAATAATACTAGCATTTGATTTATATTTTACAGAAACTTACTATAAAGTGTAGTAACTGTATTTGTAGGCAAGTGCATGAGCAGTGAAGGTAGAGAGGCTGTTTTAACAGTGTTTTAACACTGGGTGGGATTTTATGGATCCCAACTACCACACTAAAACATGGCTCCTGACTAATGATGTGCAGTGCACCAGCTCTTCTCTTGTTGCATAAATAGCATCAGGAAATCTTGTGGTGCTGGCCCAGTCATGATACTGCAGAGAGCTGACAACTTGCCACATCTTTCACGTGTTGTGGATGATATATCATAGAATCATAGAATTATGCAGCACAGAAGGAGGCCATTCGGCCCATCGTGTCTGTGCTGGCTCTTTGAAAAGAGCTATCCAAATCAATCCCACTCCCCCACACTCTCCCCATAACCCTGCAAATTTGTCCTCCCCAAATAAGTATCTACTTCTCTCTTAAAAGTTGTTATCGAATCGGCTTCCACCACCCTTTCAGGCATATGCTAGCATGCATGACATCCTCATCAGCTAACTGCTCTGTGTGGCCTTGGACTGAACCGAGTCTAAGTGCAAGAGATGCATTTTGTCTGAAATCAATTAATCTTATGGTTGATTCACTCCTATAAAAAGGAGCTGATTACATATCTGTTGAAGAGTAGGCTTGATTATTATACATGTTAGCCTAGACACTGATAACCTCTGCTCATGTTTTGTAAGATTTAGCCTTGAGTTACGTTTATTTATTGAAGCTAAATGTCAAAATGTAGAGTTACACTTTATGAAGGTATCACAGGTACCCCAAAAGTGGCTTGAGGCCCTACATTACACTAGTGCAACATAGCCTCACGATATGGCCCACCAAACACTTGCACCAGTGCAGGTAAGTCCGTGCCAAATCATTGCTGTGTTTCCAGAAGCTACAAAGCCACAATACCCATGGCACGGCCATAAATGAAGACAAATCCAATAAAGAAAAATTATTTGTTTGGATGACCAAAAGGCTTGGCCGACACTGGTATAGTGTATCTAATGTCAGGAGGACCACTTTGAGTTAGTGAGGGAGTGGGGTACAATTTGTGGATTTCCTAAACTTGTTTTGTAGTGAATCTAAGGAAAGCTTTTATGAACCATGAGGTTACTCCACTTACCCCAGTCTACGGGTAAGTGGCAAAAATGTTGCTTTGTATTTTAGATGCCAATGTTGAGTCTAAAATTTATAGAATAAAATTATCACTTCAGGGTAAAAAAAATGGTGGCACTAGTGGTGGCTAAGTGGATCAAACCAACTATTAGGAGAATGGCGCTACCTGCTAGTGATCCTAAATCATTCCTTAGATAACAAACAAAACAAGTTTAGGAATATCTCAAATTTTACTGCAGGGCTGGTGGACTAAAGTTACTGAGGTGACAACTTTGTAGTTTTAAAGCATTGTAATGCAGAGACAATGTTTTCTGTATGTATCTCCTGAGTGTAATTCATTAAAAAGTGACAGAAACAGCCCCACAGCCACCAGAGATGGGAATTTCAAGATATGAACAAACAAAATCACTGTCAAAGAAGTTTAAGCAAAAAACTTAAAGGGCAAGGAAAACCCAGGGGGGAGTATTAAACCTTAATTGTGCATTTTCAGTGGGCTGCCAGGCTTATGCGAAGCTCCCTCTCTTACAGTAAATACAGCAATTCCAGCAGCTCTCTGTCAGCGATCTTCACATTTCGAGATATTTTATTGAAGGTAGAAATTAATTTGATGTGAATTTCATTTTCTATGGAAGTTCGGGGAGTATTGTACTTTCACTACAGTATTCCCTCGAGACTCTCCTTTTCCTTTAAGGAAATGAAACAAAGTTTTCAATGAGCTGTCCCACTGGGAGTATGGTCAGGCTCCCTTGTTTTACATGCTTGAAATCTTTGAGATGTGTTTAAAGCAGGTGGCAACTTTGCTGGATCAGTTGGTAGCACTCTTACCTCTGAGCTAGAAGGTTATTGGTTCAAGCCCCATATTAGGACTTTGAACTCACAGTCTAGGTTGACACTTTAAAACATTGCTGGGGGGAGTTTTTATATTGTCAGTGGTGTCATTCTTTGGATGAGAGGTTAAGCTGACGCCCCGTCTGGCTGTTCAGGTGGATATTAAAGATCCCATTGGCACTTGAAAAGAGAAGGGAGATTCTCCCACTGCAATGGCCAAAACCAACCCCAAATAAAATTGGTCATTCATTTCATGGCTGTTTGTGGGACATTGCTGTGCATAAATTGGCTGCTATGTTGCTCACAAACACAGTCACGACACTGTACAGTAATATTTTGTGATGCTCTTTGAGACATCCTCCTGACATGAATGGTCCAAAGATTATTATATTGTATATGATAAATCTATTAGATGGCAAGGTTTATGAACAGTTTAATCTGTGGACTAATATTTCATTGCTGACAATGTCAGAATTGTGGGTTTCAACTAGTTGAAGACTACAAATGAACCAAGGAAAGAAACATCTAAAACGCCTTTGCAGCTTAAGTTAATTGTACCAAAAGTTCTATTGTCAACATAACTACACAGTTGCTCTTGTTATTTCAAAATTATCTCCAAGTGAGTGGGTGGGGAATGCTTGTTTAATCCAGTCACCACGCAAACAAAATCCTCAGGAAAACAGACTTCAGGAATGGCTTGTGATACTGTAAAAGTATAAGCTGATATTCTGTGTATCCATGCATCAAAGTAAGGCTTAACATAATGCAGCCACTAAGGCAAGCAAGGCCTAACATAAAGCATTCACTTGGGCAAGTGAGACCTACACAATGGCATCCACAAACTACAAATATGGCAGCTTGTGGGGCCTTCAAAAAAGACTGAAATCAACAATACAACATCTTGAACTATATAATGCTCTTCATGTGGGGTAGCATCTCAGAACACTTAAAAATGACATAGTTTGACGCCAATCCAGGGAGAAAAGAGAGTAAGGTGACCATAGGATTGATATATCTCTGCATATAGTGTTATTAAACATTTATATACATATATATATATTACATATTTATTATATAGATTATACAAAATAGATCCCAATATTGACTATCCAATAACAGTACAGGAGGAATGAAATGGTTAAGCAGAGAGATATTCAGATATTCAACAAAGCTGAATTCCAGTCACAGGTTGTTCTTTCACATGTCATTAGAAAAAAAATTAAGTGTCTATCCAATCGTGGCAGATCCTTAATTTCAGTCCTAATTTAGTTTATGAAGTTATTTATAAGAATTGCGGAAAAACAGCTTCCAAATTAACACTGAGTTTAACACAAGTTTTTCACAATACTGTGTGATATTAATGGTCTAAATTAAAATGGTCTAAACAGGCTAAAACCAGGTGGAATTTTGGCCTGGAATGTGTTCAGAAATTCCACAGTTTGGGCACATTTTTTTGTACACTTTGTGTACAAACTGTGGCATTTTTACATCTCAAATCACAGTTAATAATAATAATCCTTGCATTTGATATAGCGCTTTTCACGTCTTCTAGACGTCTCAAAGCGCTTCACAGAATATACTGTAAAGTGATTGTATATTTGTGGGCGAAATATACAGTCAATTCACTTTACAGTATATTCTGTATATACTGTAAATATTCAGTTGACTTTTGTAGCACAAAATATTTCATACACCAGTTTGCAAGACTGGTTTTGAAACTACTGAATCTTAAATTCTGTCTTGGTATTAGTCAGTAAATTTACTCCAATGACTTAGTATTTCCGAGTGTCCAGAATTTGGCAAATTGGTGAATTCAGTGTTAATTAAAAGAAACTTACAGAAAACCGGATTGATAATTAAGAAATTCTGGATGCTCTGAAATGCTAAGACAATAGAATAAATCTAAACCCTGATGGAATTTGCATAAAATGACATAGAATGATTTGACACAGAAACGGGTCATTCAGCCCAACTAGTCTGTGCTAGTGTTTATACTGCACACGAGCCTCCACCCCTATTAATGCCTTCTCCTATACCCCTCTATTCCCTTCTCCCTTTACCTCATGTAATTCTATCCCATGACAACAAAAACAATCTGCATTTATATATGTATGAATATGTTTTTTTCGGTGGGGTATCTGGGTGTCTGACACATATGGAAACCCATCACCATGCTTAGGAGTATCCAAACCGAATTGAGAATTCCATGTATCCCACCTACACATGGAAATTCCACCGATAGATTATTGGAATGGAATGCAAACTCTCTCCCTGGAGGGATGCATCCTGCCTACCTAATTCCGGTGAGTATTTAGCACTGGTTGGCAAGAGCCAATGCTTGGGGACCCAGAGTATGTGTTGGCGTATATGTATAAATGTTTACTTGGGGTATCGTCTCATAATGCTGAACTATATTAGAAGGGACATTTGTGCTGATTTGCATTCACCTCTGTGCTCTTCTCCTAGTTACTGTGACATTATGATTGAGCGAGAGGTACTGATGCAGAAGTATATTCACCTGGTTCAGATCGTGGAAACCGAGAAAATTGCAGCCCATCAGCTCCGCCAGCAGTTAGAGGATCAAGACACGGAGATTGAGAGACTAAAAGCTGAGGTGTGTCAACCAAACAAACCGGAACACAAAAAGAAAGTGCTTCTCCTGTTTTTTCCCTCATCTACTTTTGTCACTTTTGCAGCTTGTCTTTCTTTCTATTATCTGTGTGCTTGTCAGTATCCAAAGGCTTCACGAGAAAGTAATCGCAGATCTTCAGCGTTGACAGAAAAATCCCATCAATGAGATTTGTATGGCACAGTAGGATTTTTTCTGTCATCCCTGGTATCTGGGTTTGAATCTTCAGTGTGATTGATTAGCTGTAATAATTCTGTATTGTGAAAGCAGTTGGGGGCAGTTGCAGCCTGATTCCTAATTATTATGGACTCACAGCATAAATATTTCCTTAAATCAGCATTTTGTGGAGTTATTCCACCTGGGTCTAGATTTACTCTGTTTATGTTACATTTTAGAGTATCCATTTGGCAAAATTTTCAATTCAGTCTTCTGGGTTTGATTCCCGAGCAGGGCGAAACGTTGGGCAAGCTTCCTTACTCCGCACGCCTCTGGTTACCTAGCAATAAGTAAGAACCCCGTTGTTAGTCAATTGGAAGATCCCTTTTCCGGGGATAATAATCCCTCAAAACAAATTTGGTCATGTCTGTTTGTGGGACACTACTGCGTGCAATTGGCTGCTGCATTTTGCCCACAAACATACAGTTAATTCATTTTACAGTATATTCTGTGAAGCGCTTTGAGACATCTAGAAGACGTGATAACGCCCTATACAAAATGCAAGGATTATTATTATTAAGTTTAACCTAAATTTACAGGCTTTAAAATTAAGACATTATTTAAGAATTTGACAAATTATGGAAGATAAATTCTAAAATGCTACCTAAATAGAATGAATATAGATCAGGTGGAATTTCTTCCCTTTAATTAACAATCCCACTCATATGGGAGACAGAATGGCTTCTGAGGGAATGAAAAATGTATCGATGGTAAGATTAAAGAGTGCTCCTCCGAGATTAGAGCAATGTAGGAAACTACAACAACAACAATTTGCATTTATATAGCGCTCTTCACAGGGGGCAGTGTCTTAGAGTGCTTAATACGTCTAGAGGACGTGAAAAACAGAGCGCTTTGTGACGTCGAGTGAACGTGAAAAACGCTATATCAAATGCAAGGATTATTGTTATTTTTATATATTAATAAACCTAACATGGGATTGCTTGATACTGACATTGGGTCCTGAAAATGGAAAATAAAATACTTAAACAAAAGTTGGTATTCTGAACATGCACCTTAAATGTCACTAAGCAGTTCATCCCGGATGACATTATCAAATAACAGAATGGATATGAGAAGAGTGATATTTGTAGTGATTGGTGAAGCAAACCTTATGGTTATTATAAAAGGGCTTGCAGTGTGAAAGTGCTTAATCTTCTGTTGCAGCATTGACTTTGGGTAAACTTTAGCTGCCAATGAAAGCAGTCAATTGGCAGATTTAATATGGACAAATGAAGCTACAGGCCAGAGTTCTGTTAAAAAAATAAGAACAATAGCACTTAGCCACTATGATTTTAAATTTATGTTCTATACCGTGAGTATTTAATCATAATAAGCGATCTATTAGGTGGCAGAAGTAATAAAACTGTTTCATTGGAACAGCTTGTGAGTTTGCTTCAGCGATGTAATTTCTTTCTATTATTTTTTATCACTAAGATTGTTGCCCTCAACAAGACTAAAGAACGGATGCGTCCTTATCAGGGGAATCAGGAGGACGAAGATCCTGATATTAAAAAGATTAAGAAGGTAATTTCATCTTGCATTTATAGAGTAGCCTTCACATTGGATAACGTCTTGGAGTGCTTAAAGATAGGTAAGTGGTACTGAAAGGATTGCTCTTTAAAAGAGGCAGCACAGATACAATGGGCCAGACACACGGGCCAGATGACCTTCATGTGTGCTGTAAATTTCTATGGTTCACAGTGGTGGGGTTGGATGGGAGAACGGGGAAGTGACCATAGGTGAATTTGAAGAGGTAGATTATACAGTGGGATATAAAGACAAATAGGGAAAGTGTGAGGAGTAGGAATAGAATTATGTTAAGCGCTCTGAGACGCTACCCTGAGTGGAGGGCGCTGTATAAGTGCAAGTTGTTGTTGCTGTCATATGTGGTTCCAGAGATTAGGAGCGTAATACCTGAAGGCTTGGCTATTGATGGTGTCACAGAGGGGGAAGGGACGCACAGCTTGCCTATGTTAGCTGAGTGAAGAGGACAAGCAGAGGAATGGTTACAAGATGATGATAGAGTTAGGGAGGTCCTAGCGCCTGACGGATTTGTACATATGGGTGTGGACCTTGAAGTTGATCTGTTGGGAGTCAAGGAGGCTGGCAAGGCCTGGGGTGATGGGCAGGAGGAGTTTTGTATGGGTGTGGATACAGAAGCAGAATTTTGGATTAGCTGAATCTTGTAGATGGTGGAACTGGGGAGACCAGTGAGGAGTTTATTAGAGAAGGCAAGGTGGGAGGTGACAAAAGTAAATAGTGAGTGGAACTATTTCAGCATGGAACTATTAAACTCTTGCCGTGTATATTCTGCAATCATACATTGTGAATAGAATTTTCTGCACAAGTTACCGTTTACAACATAAGTAAACGTTATCCTATGAAAAGTCAACATTTCTAATCGGCTTAAGTGTTTTATTTTATTTGAAAATTAATAATGAAGAGGTCTTTCAAAACGTAGGTATTGCACACCTGAATCTCATCATATTGGGTTACTTAATAATTCCTATTGACTCTGGAACAAAAACGCAAAACAATATCAGGCAACATTAAACCCATTTTTGAAAATCTCTTCCCCTAATTCTTTACACATTAATTGTGTATGAACAAGATACGCTATGAAGGTATGAAGACCTGTGGGAAAGGATTTTTCTCATTTGTGGTGTGACTGTAGCTTTTCATAAGTTCAATGCTTAGCATAGTATTTACCATTAGGTATGCAGGGTGTATGTCAGTGGAAAATAAAGCAAGTCACATAGATTCAACTGACATCTGTTTTATTCCAATAAGAATAAATGTGCAAGGAGGGACACTAGGCTCTGCACTAAGGTGATTAGAGCGCCATCTAAGGGTTCAACTAATGTTCAAGCATTACCATTGCAATTGGTGGAGAAAATAGGTTCCACACTAAATTTTTCACAGTTTTCATTCTAATAAGATAAGCTGTTTGATTTGTTAAGGTATAATTTTCATAAAATCATCCTTATTCAATAGCTAATAAGTATTAACTAAGCACAGGTTTATAATGCGGTGTATTCTGCAGCAGCTTGTAACTGGAAATGTTAAATGTAATTTTAAAAATCCTCTCATTTGATGTAGCACCTTATTAGTTAGTCGAGATGTCTCAAATCGCTTTGCAGGATTTACGAATGTGAGCTTTCTCATTTTCTTTAAAAACACTACCTGTGAGTCACCTAACTTTTTAAAAATAATAGTCCTTGCATTAGATGTAGCACCTTATCATCAAGATGTATCAAAACACTTCACACTTAACTACATACAGTTTTGGTCACCGTGACATAAAGTCCAAGCCCTAGAGGTGGTGCAGTGAAGGGCTGAACAGCTTCCTCGTGTTCCTATGTTGTTCCTATGAGTAATGTTAGAAGAATGAGTAGAATTCAGAGTTAAGGGTGGGAGACTGAAGTAAAGCAAATTTTGTAGAAATAGAGAGTGTTTGCCCTGATACATTGCATACAGATATTGATTGGCACATTGGTTGAACAGCAATGGGATCTATGGAAGGGGGTGAGTCCAACTAGGAGCAAAGGGCATGCGATTAAACATAGAGTACCTTGGCTTTCAAAAGTATTAGGAAGTTAACAACAACAACAACAGCTTGCATTTATATAGCGCCCTCCATGCCGGGCAGCATCGCAGAGCACTTAATAATAATCCTTGCATTTGATATAGCAACTTATCATGTCTTCCAGATATCTCAAAGCGCTTCACAGAAAATACTGTAAAGTGAATTGACTGTGAAAAAGAAAGAGGCTTATACAAATTATAGGTCTACCATTAGTGGAAAATCATGAAATATATCGAAGACATAGAAAAGTGGCAAAAAGAGAAATTAGAAAGGCTAAGAGAGAACATGAAAAAAGACCATCGCAAATATTAAAGGAAACTGTAAACTTTTTAGAAGCAAAAGGGTAGCTCAATTTGAGATTCGGCCACTTAGGGATGAGAGCAATAATTTAGTGATTGAGAAAGAGGGGATGGCAGAGCTATTAAATAAGTATATTGCCTGCGTTTTCACTGAGGAGATTAGTCTTCACCTATGAGACATTTCGCCTTCTCATTCAAGATCTTTTAAAATTATGGCAAATTTTCAAATTCAATTTGAATTTGGAAGCTGTTTTTCTGTTGTCTGAAGAAGAAGGAATGCACAATCATAATTTTAATAAATTAAAATCAAATTAGATAAAATGATCTCCCAAGCAAAGACTAGGTAGAATTTCTATCTTATTTTTTAAAGAGGTCTTATCAGCAAAAATAGAAATGTTAAGAGATTCAAAGTATTTGCACAGTCAATGTTTTTGTGACAAAAATAGGACAACCTACATTTGGAATATTATTCACCACCAGTCAAAGACAGTACCATTAGGCACATAATGAAATAAAATAAAATATTAGTCTGGTAGTCTGAAAATGATTGTGTGTAGGTGTCAGGTGCTAAAACTGACAATGCTTCTTCATTCTCCTTGATTTCTTTTCTCTCCTATTGATGTTTATAGGTTCAGAGCTTTATGAGAGGCTGGCTATGCAGAAGGAAGTGGAAGACAATTGTTCAGGACTATATCTGCTCTCCCCATGCAGAGAGCATGAGGAAGAGGAACCAGATAGTCTTCAACATGGTGGAGGCGGAAGCAGAGTATGTGCAGCAACTTTACATCCTGGTGAATTGCTTCCTGCGGCCTTTGAGGATGGCTGCAAGTTCAAAGAAGCCCACGATAAGTCATGACGATGTCAGCAGCATTTTTCTCAACAGGTAAATAGCAGTGTCTGTAACAGGAAAAGGGAGTTTGAAACAAGGTTGGTGGAAAATCACATTATCATTGCTTCTTTGGCAAGGTAGAGGATCATGCCAGAGGCTTAAACATGTTATGACAAAATGTAACCAGCAACCCAGCTATGAATAAAAACATATTACAATAACAAACAACTTGCTTTTATATAGGGTCTCTCTCACAGGGTAAAGTCCCAGAGCGCATGATATCATTAATGGAATTAAAACAAAATGCATTAGGAAATGGTTTGAATCAATTCAATACAAATTTACATCATTATAGTTAAGGCTATCCAGATCAGACTGAGAGTTCCAATATCATTGCCAACTACACATGGGCATTTTCCCATGTCTGAAACATGGAAGAACACACCCTGCTTACCTAATTTGGAATAATATTAGACTTAGGTTGGCGAAAGCCAAAGTTTGGGGACCCCAGAATGTTGTTGCGTTACTGCAGGAATGTAACCAGCTAAAACTGTATAGTTTGTCATTAAGAGCACTGTTTGTCAAGTTTCCCACTGCTTGTCCAGCTAGGAACACCCTGCCCGTTAGAACTTTGACTTTCAGGGTTAACAGTAGCGGAGTGGCAAGAATCCCTGTTCCCGGTTAATCTATTGCCTGTAAGAGTCTCACATGAAACAAACTTACAAACTTACATAAGAAAAAATGGAATGAGAAATCAACATTTGCCCATCAAGCTCATTCCTTCTAGAAACCCTAGAAAATCAACTTATCATGGACTTCACCCCATCCTCTCTATCTCCCTAAATCCCAAAGACACGCCAGATCATTCATCCAATCCTATATCTTCTCTATTGAAACCTGGGCCCCTTCGCTCCACAGACAACATTCTCTGTTTCTAGTTCCACCAGCACAGAAATCATTGTGTCCTTCGGAGTAATTGTTCATCACACTAATCTTTAGATCCTCAAATAATGTTCCTGATTTTACCCCAGCTCAGCGCAGGGCAAGGATGAAACTTGGAACCTATCTGTATGGCTCAGTTACACACTGGGAAATTGCTTTACCAGCTGAGCTGCCTTGTAGGTTTACTTTAGCTGAAATAATGAGTTTTTGATTACTCTTAAGAACTGACTCGATCATTTTGGTCCCAGTGGAACAATTAAAAAGGGTCTGTTTTGCTGATTTCTTTAAAATAGATAGCTGTTCAGGGATTTACAGTGAGGTCATCCTTTGTGTTGATGTTTGTGGTAAGATAGCCCCCGGTTGAGCTAACAACATAAGGCAAGCCACTAATTGAAAAGCTGCACCGTCAGAAGATCCACTAATCCATTCACACCCAATACTAGTGCATTTCAATAAAGGATCCACTGCAAAGGTTAATGATGAATACTGCCTCCAAAATTACCTCCGATTTTTTATTCAGTTGCATAATTACACCAGTCAGTAGCAACGCATCCTCACAGGCTGGTGTTAACCTGAAAGCTGCCACCTCCAACACATGATCCAGTCATCCAGAAGAAAGGAAAGAAAATAAGTCGTGTTAATGACGATTAGTTAAAGGAAATGTCTAACATATCATCCTGACACCAACACACCAAGGAAATCAGGTACCATACTGAACGTATCCACAAACCATCAACACAAAGGATGAATTCACTGCACATCCTCTGTGGAACTAAGCAGACATCTAAATGAAAAAACACATAAATAGAATTTCTTAACATTGTGGGAGATGTTCCAGAGTGACAATCATGTCCAACTGTGAGAAATCTGTAATACTTTCTTTTCTTTCAGCGAAACTATCATGTTCCTTCATGAGATATTTTATCAAGGATTGAAAGCACGGATAGCTAACTGGCCAACTCTCATATTGGGTAAGTATTTTTTAAATAACAAAAGGAAGATTTTAGTACTGCATTTCTTATATTACCTGAACTAATAATATATGTGGAGACAAAATGCTCGAAGGTACAGTTACATTCTGATGCCTTGAACAACTGATCATAATTTTGTGTAAACCAGGAATATAAACACTACTCAAAATGTTCACCTTTCAGACTGTGCTCAACCCTCAGACTCTGTTTACTTGGACTCCACTCACCTCTCACTCTCCGCTTACAGATATGGACAAAAGTTGCCTAAGACAACAAAATCAAAATTATATAACACATAGAGAAAACATATTTCAGACTTGTAACTTTAAGATGGATTAATATTCATAAAGTAACTGGTATCAGTATGAAAGAACACAAATTCAGTTGAAATAACTTGTGCTGGCCAGAAATCTCCAGATGAAATTGGCCATTCACTTCAAGGCTGTTTGTGGGACATTGTGCACAAATTGACTTGCTGTTTGCCTGCCAAATCCTCAGTGACTACACTTCACAGTAAAATCTGTATGGTGTTTTCAGTCATCTCAATGATGTGATAAAATGCTGCACCAAATGCATGTATTATTATTATTAATAATTATTATTAATAATAATAAGATACAAAACAATTACTTTTCTTCATAAAATAATTAAAAGAGATTAAGTAGTGGAAATAAGAGCTGATTCTTCACATAAACCTGCTAGAGAACCAACTTGAGAGGAAGAGTGTCCCACCATTACAGGTTTCATTTTATTTTGGATTTGGTCATAATATACGTTTGGGTCAACAATTTGCTTTAAACAGTGGAAAGTGCAACACACTGAAATATCACTGGCCACATGATTGAACAAAACACTATAAACCATAAGAAATTTCAGAAACAGGAAAATGTAATTTGGCCAAACAAACCTGGTCTGTTTATCTCAATCCCACCTTCCTGGGCTTCTTACATATCCTTCTATTCTATGTTATTCCAGATTTAGACTCGTTTATCATATTGTCTGGGTTTAATTCATACTTTTTATTTCAGGTATTTTGTTCTCAGGATGCATGTACTAGACAAAGCAATAGAATATGATACATAGAATTCCTGCACGGAAACAGGCCATTTGGCCCAAATAGTTGAACATTTGACTGCTGGTTTGAGAGATATTAGAGTTCCTCATTAACTCTTTTTTTAATTTGGTAAAGAGCTGTGTTCCTGCTCAATTAGCAGGTGAATCTGCAGTCATTAGAACCATAGACATTTTTTTACGGCACAGAAGGACATTCGGCGCATCATATTTTTGCCGGTCCTTTAACAGCAATCCTTTCAGTCTCGTTTTGCCCATGGAACCTTGAACTTGGTGTGTAGGCCTGGCTCAGTGGTATTTTAGACCTATTCTGCTTTTGTCAATTGTGACAGATGGAGTTTGGTAAAGGGAGATGGGCTCATTTTAACCCTTCATTAAAATGCAAGTTGTTATTATTTATGCTATATAAATGCAAGTCATTATTGATACAACAACAACAACTTGCATTTATATAGCGCACCTCATGCAGGGTAGCATCCAGGAGTGCTTGATAGTGGTGGAGCACGATGGTGAGCCAGGGGAAGATGACTGTAGGCACGGACAAAGAGGAAGGTCTTCAGGCGCGACCAGAAGATGGGGAAGAAAGGAGCAAGGTAGAGGGAAAGAAGAAGAGTACTATTGATAATATTGCCTACATCGTGTCACTGATTTCCTGTTGACTTGGAGATTGCAGACATTCCTGGCAGGTTAAGAGTTAACACTGGTTTTCTGCAGCTTTTGCAGTACTTTTGACATCCTGGCTGCTGATTAGAAGTACAGTTAATCAGGCACCACCAACCATTTCCCTTTTAAAAATCTGTGAGTTTTTTGCAAGGAGAGAAATGTCAGCAGCTTCTAGTATAACTGTAACAAAAAGAAATGGTAAGCACAGCTTGCAAAACCACATCTCACCAAAGCAATTCAGAATGATTGTTAATCTTTAAGATGTAAGTGAGTACTCCCCATTTGCTTCACTGATAGAAATATAACAAATCTTAAAATTGTAGATCAAATTGTTTCCATGGATACCAAATATTTTGGTTGCTTTTGTAGCCATTGAAACTGTGCAAAATAGGCGCTGTGATTAAATCTAATGACTTTGTTTCCTTTTCCAGCCGACTTATTCGATATTTTATTACCTATGCTGAATATCTACCAAGAGTTTGTCCGAAACCATCAGTACAGTCTGCAGGTGTTGGCAAACTGTAAGCAAAACAGGGATTTCGACAAGCTGCTGAAACAGTATGAATCAAATCCAGCATGCGAGGGACGGATGCTGGAGACCTTCCTTACATATCCTATGTTTCAGGTAAAATCTAGTTTGGGGGGAGGGATATTCAAAGCAAGCACAGACATCTAGCCATGTGGAGTGTGAGCATAGGCCTCCAAGTTTACGAGGCCTCTATAAGACTGCTAAGGTGCCCCAGATCTATTCTGTTTAACTTTGTTTTAAACTGAGAAATTTGTCTGAAGGGCCAAGGCCAATTCTGCAGCGGGAAATAATAAACCCTAACATTTGGTAAAGAGCTTTTCATGTCTCAAAGTGCTTCGGAGGACACACTGTAAAGTGCAGTGACTGTGTGTATTGTAAGCGAACCCAGATTAGGAATGTTGAAAAGATTTGGAGAGAAGATGAGATCAATTGGAAAGTAGCACAGCAATTAAGCGGTGACAAGCTTAAAAGCCTGTTAATTAGCAGTGGGGAAACTTAGGGAAGTTAGGAGTTCTACAGTTTCAAGATCCTGGGAAAGATTAGGATAGAATATAATTTTATGTAAGAATAGAATGCGTTCTGATTTGACACAATATCTGCTGCTGCTCTCTGTGTTGAAGGATGAAGAATGTGTAGAATGATATAGATGGAACTAGGGAACAAACAAGGGAAGAAACTTTCAGGTCAATAGCAACATAGAGAACAACAAGAAAGGTTGTACAGAAAGTGAGAGAGAGGTCGGAACTAGAGATGAGAGATTAGAAGCACAATTTCAGGGAGAGGTTAGACACTGTAGATGAGAGGGAGAAAGAGAGAAACTAGCAATCATAGAGAGGTTAGACACTGAAGATAAGCGAGAAAAAGATTAAACACTAGAGAGAGAGATGGGCTAGCTACAGGAAATAAGTGGTTAGCGTTGAGAGAGAGACAATGGATAATAATAATAATCTTGCATTTTATATAGACGTTTCAAAGCTTCAAGACGTCTCAAAGCGCTTCACAGAATATACTGTAAAGTGAATTGACTATATTTGTGGGTGATAAGAGAGATATTAGAAGCTGGAGATAAAAGAAGGCTTACTTATCAGGCAATAAGCTTTTTTTCTCTCTTCTGTTCGGAAGTGAGAGAGAGGTGCTAAAAGAGCCTGCACAAATATTGGATCATTATTGAGGTTCCTGTGTCTATGAGGATTTTTGTGAGAATTCAATATTGCCTTTCCTGATACATAAAAATGCAATACATAAAAACTGAATCAATGCAGTGTTTTTGTAACCATTGGTAAAACCATTAATTACAAAATCACACTGGTTATTATTAGCTCCTAATAATAATCTTGTACCAAACTGCTACCTGACATCTGAAGCTATTTTGTTTGTGACATTTATTTCATTATTTCTTAAAGTTCAAATTAGATCAGCCTCTCTGATCAGCCAATCTGGAGCAAGTGCCAAACTGAGTGGTTGTTTCTAATACTGAAAGTTCTGTCCCAACTTCCAGCGGCAAACACAGACAATTGTGATGTTTGAATATGTCTAAAAAAAGCATGACATTTCTCAGCTTTCTTATAATAAAATGATAATTGCCACATTTGATATTGCGCTTTTCTCGATATTCTTCCCAATGCATTTCACGGGATATACTATAGAATAGGTGACTGTTGTTGTGGGTGAATATGGCAACCAATTTGCACATTGCAATGTCCCACAAACAGCCATGAAGTGAATGACCAATTTTATTTGGGGGATTTTGGCCAGACGGACACTAGGAGAAATTGTCTTCTCTCTCTCTTAATGTTTTCCAATAGGTTTTCCTGGCGCGTGTGCAATTTGTATCTAGATGGGCAGTAATAATATACTGTATTACCCTTAACAATACCCTTAGTAATCTTTGCATTTCATGTACCTTCTTTCATCCGTGGAGGATATCTCAAAGCACTTTCAAGATTCACAGCATTTGCCTGCAAAGTACACAGTCGCTACACTTTACAGTAAAATCCTGTAAAGAACTTTGAAATTTTCTCTCCATGTGAAAGGCACTTCAAATAATGCAAGGATTATTTTATTTTTCACTTCATTTTTACTGTAAAACATGGTGAGATGACCTTTTTGGTCAAAATAAGTTAAATAGAATTATTTTCTTTTTAGCTAATCCAGTCTTATTCACAATTTCAAGAATTACAAAGTCTCTGTCAAACCACCAGAGAACATTAAAATAATGGGTTTGTTGCCGGATGTGGCAGTAAACTATTTAGACATGGGGAGTAATCCAGCCCACAGCAAAAGATTAACCAAATGTGTTTTTATGGTGAATGTTTGCTGTAGAGGATACAATCACTTTAGTTTAACGACCACATTTCTCTGTTATCCAATTCCAGATCCCACGGTATATAATAACACTACATGAACTCTTGGCACATACGCCACATGAGCACGTGGAAAGAAAAAGCCTGGAATTTGCCAAGTCAAAACTGGAAAATTTATCAAGGTAAGATAGCAATTGCATATCTGGACACAAAAGGTGAAGCACTCCACCCTGTAATAATAAATTCATAGTTATTGTTAGAAAGAACCAAATAGATTGTACATGTAGTATTATTGATATGGCTATCCTAAGTGATTACTTAGGAACTAGAGAAGATCAGGAAATATATCAATCTACAAATTGAATGTGGACGTGTGTGGCAGTATAAAACAAACATAAATTGGTCACTTCAATCCACGACTGTTTGTAGGACGCTGCTGTGGGCAATTGGCTGCTGCATTTCGCCCACAAATATACGATCAATTCACTTTACAGCATATTCTGTGAAGCGCTTTGAGCCATCTATATCAAATGCAAGGATTATTATTATTATTGTTATAGGATACTTCCCCTCCTGCTTTACTCCCGCATTTGCATTCAGCATTTGCATTTGTGGGCTGAATCGAATGACGTGGTGACCAGTCCACGCGTGCACACTTACCGGCCAATCATGAGAAACGTAGTCTTGACTCATCTGAAATCCTTCAGCTCAGTGGTTAGAGCACTCTCATCACAAGTGAGAGACCTGGGTTTGATTCCTGGCAGGGCGAAACCTTGGGCAAGTTTCCTTGTTCTACATATTTCTGTTTACCTAGCAGTAAGTAGGGACCCGGTTGTTAGTTGATTGGCGGAACGCTTCCTCGGGGATAATAATCTCCTCAAACAAAAAATAATAATAATTTGGTCACTCAATCCATGACTGTTTGTGGGACACTGCTGTGTAAAATTGGCTGCCGCAAATATACAGTCAATTCACTTTGTGGTATATTCTGTGAAGTGCTTTGCGACGTCTAGAAGAAGTGGAAAGCACGATATCAAATGCAAGGATTATTATTATTATTATTGTTATTATATGCTGTTTTGGATAACATTAATATACATAGTCCAACACAAACCACATAGGGGCCTCAGAGTTCACAACGCAATTTTCAACAGTCTTTAAGATTAATAATTTAGAAATGAAATCGAGTTTATTTTTTTTAAAAAAAACTAAATTATATTTGATCAGTTCATCCACAATCCTATAGATATCACTAGATTAAAGGATGAAACTTATGAACAGTACAAGATCATACACAGTCACAGTGAATGAGAAGATCATTGGCAAGCCTAAACTGGAACTAGCTCATCCACTGGAGATAATGACTCTAACCTGAATTCTCTGCCCATCCCTATATCTTATAGGGAATGTTTACCGAATTCTCTATTAATACAGTTATGGTCTCAGCTTCAATAGCCACTTGTGTCAAAGCATTTCATTCATGACATTTCTACACACTGGGTGCAAAAGATTTTAATTCTTCATTGGAAATCGTGAACATTGGCCAGCTTTGTCAAAGCCTTCAGAGCTTTGAAGACCAATATTAAATTAACTTTTAGCCTTCTGTGTTTATCTGAAAGCAGACCAAATTTGTGGAAAAAATAATTCTGTGGGATGAGAGAAGCTATTTGTAGGAAGAATGACTGTAGATCAGAAAGATTTGACATTTTTAAACCTAATTGTCAACAACAACTTGCATTTATAATGCTACTCCTTCACGTGCGGTAGTGTACTGGAGCGCTTCTCAAATTGTCAATCGTACCTAAATTAAGTGCTCCAAGACACAACCTCACACAAAGGATGCTATGTAAATGCAACTTATTATAATAATAATAACAATAATCCTTGCATTTGATATAGCGCTTTTCACATATTTTCGACGTCTCAAAGCGCTTCACAGAATAGACTGTAAAGTGAATTGATCGTATATCTGTGGGCGAAACGCAGCAGCCAATTGCGCACAGCAGTGTCCCACAAACAGTCGTGGATTGAAAATGACCAATGTATTATTTAAGTTTCCTTACTCCACACACCTAATAATAATCCCTCCAAAACAAAACAATAATAAATTAGTCATTTTCAATCCACGACAATTGACTGCCGCGTTTCGCCCACAAATATAAGGTCAATTCACTTTACAGTATATTCTGTGAAGCGCTTTGAGACGTCTTGAAGACGTGAAAAGCGCTATATCAAATACAAGGATTATTATTACTATATTATTATTAGGCGTGTGGAGTAAGGAAACTTGCCCAAGGTTTTGCCCTGCCTGGAATTGAACCCAGGTGTCTTGCTTGCAAGGCGAGTGCTCTAACCACTGAGCTACAGGACTCCACATGTTGTATTCTTGTTGTTGTTGTATTCATACCTTCACATATTAAAAGAATATTCTGGACAATTGGTCAAAAAAGTGCAAAAAAACTTTTATTTTTGATCAACCAGGTATCTGACATATTGGAAACCCATTACCATGCTTAAGAGTCTCTAAAGCAACTTAACAACAACAACTTAGATTTATATAGCGCCCTACACGCTGGACGGTGTCTTAGAACGCTTCACAGTAACAGATCCCGGGGCCGAGCCAGGGGGAGGGGGAGGAAGATGACCAAAGGCCCGGTTGAAAAGAAAGGTCTTCAGCCGAGACCTGAAAATAGGAAGAGAGGGCGCGAGGTGAAGTGAGTCAGGAAGGGAGTTCCAGAGCCTCGGGGCATAGTGGCTGAACGCACGGCCGCCGAGGGTGGTGTGGAGGACTCGGGGGACAAGGAGGAGGCCAGACCCGGAGGAACGAAGGCAACGGGCACTGTTCTGAGGAGAGAGGAGGTCAGAGAAGTAGGGGGATGCAGAGGAGTAGAGGGATTTGAAGACAAGGGTGAGGATCTTGAAATCGATCCTTTCTGGGACAGGCAGCCAGTGCAGTCTAGCAAGGACTGGGGTGATCGGGAAGCGGAGTTTAGTGCGGGTAAGAATGCAGGCGGCAGAGTTTTGGATGACCTGGATTTTGTGGATGGTAGTGGAGGGGAGGCCGGCGAGAAGGGCATTTGAATAGTCCAGCCGAGAAGTGACAAAGGCATGGACCAGGGTTTCAACGGCTTTTGGAGTGGGGTATTGGCGGAGACGGGCGATGTGTCGGAAACTGGAAGAAAGCGGTGCTGCTGAGGGACCGGATGTGGGGGAGGAAGGATAATTGGGGGTCAAACCTGATGCATCAAGCTGCTCTTAAAATAAGTCAAGTTAAGTGTCCTGGCCTCTCCAATTATTCCTGGCAATCTGTTCCTGTTGTTGATTACTTGCTGCATAAAGAAAACCTTCCTAGCATCTGCCCTGAAATTGCTCTTTACAACTCTAAGCCTATGTCCTCTTGTTCTACTACTTTCATACTTCCCAAAGTACTGATCTGGATTTATTTCTTCAGTCCTATTTAAAATTTGGTACATCTCAATGAGATTTCTTATGAGTCATCTTCTCTCAAGACTGAAGAGCCCTAGATTGTCTAGAATTTGCTCATTCGCTCATAGCTCATTCCTCTAACACTGGGGATCATTCTTATTGCTCTCCTCTGCGTTGCCTCAAGACCCTGAGCAGTTTAGATTGTAGGTTCTTGAGGGCAATCTGTGTGTTATCCTCTGGGAGGCTTGGCATTTCCTTCTCTTGGTAGCAGTGTTTGGGATTTGAAGTGTTGCTCAGTGGAAGCTCTGAGGTATGAAGTGGAACATTTGCTCACTCAGTTGTTGAAAGTCACATTCAGTTTTCTCATGACAATTCTGCCTCTTGCGAATTCAATTCAAACCTTCAGTTGATGTGTGGTATCTCTCTCGGTGAGGATGTTTACATCTTGTTTTCAAGCTGAGTAAAATTCCTACAAACCAGCCACAAAGTCCCTTTTACTCCCTCTGTCAGAGCCTAGCCTAGGGAGTATAAGCCCTCGTTTTGGTTTCTGTTGAACGTAATAAATTTCAATGTGCTTAAATCCTAACAACCCGGCTGCTCCGTCCACTCAGCGGGCACCGGCCTATTCAGGCCCCTTGCCCCATTATTGGGGGGCAGGTTTTCAGCATATCTGCCCCACTCTCTGGAAGTCCATTTCAGAGTTTGTTTGACTCACCCAGAGCTGGACAGGCTGGATTTTTCTGGTTGGACCTCTTGCTAGACAAACTGGCCTGTAGATGGACAGGCTGGGGAAATGTGTATTTGTATACTATTGTTCTCTTAATCATCAGTTCGTCATCATCAGTTACATTCGCATCCCACACAGAACATATATGTCTTTTGATCGTGCTGCTTCTGTTGAAAGGGAACGATACAACTTGAATTCCCAGATTCTTAAGACTCCCAGAAAAGCCTGTGAACTGTGTGGTCTGAGTATTCAAAGGTGAATCAAAGCATAGTAAAAATAATATATAATATAATAATCCTTGTATTTTGATATAGCCCCTTATCATGTCTTGGAGAGTCTCAAAGCACTTCAAAGAATATATTAAGTGAATTGTCTGTATTTTGTGGGCGAAACGCGACAGCCAATTGCGCACAGCAGTGTCCCACAAACAGTGGTGGATTGAGTGACCAAATTATTANTTTTTTAAGAGATTATTACACCCAGAAAAACAATCTGCCAATCGAATAACAACGGGGTTCCTACTTACTGCTCGGTAAACAGAAGCATGTGGAATAAGGAAACTTGCCCAATGTTTTGCCTTGCCTGGGAATCGAATCTGGGTCCTCTCGCTTGCGAGGCAAGTGCTTTAGCCACTAAGCTACAGGACTCCATTTCAGTCAGCTTTTGGTTTCCCCTACATCTTGTTGCCATCTGAATTATGCAAAATTCAGTCAGTGATGGAACTGGTACAGATACTTGCAACAAGTGATGGGCAACAGCATTGAATTGCTGGGCTTTAGAACAAGGAAAGAAGGAAGATAAGACTCTGATCATTGACCAACACAGGATTATTAAACTTTAAAATCACTGATTTCAATGATGAAGAAAAACTGAAGTGACACTCACTCAGTATTATTGATAATAGTTAGAGAGGAGGATAAGTTTTGACTTGATCATTTGACACATAATACATTGTAATAATGTAATAATAGTGCTCACTAGAAAACGAGGCACATCTGTTGCTAAGTAACCTTAGTTTATATTAATATGTCGTGTGTGCAACCAGTTGTATTGATTTCTTGTGATTCACTGAGCTGGGAATCAAGCATAAATACATGTCATAGACTAAATTGCATTTAATGATCTGACTGCTGTGTATATGTTTAGAGTAATGCATGATGAAGTGAGTGACACAGAAAATATTCGGAAAAACCTTGCAATAGAGAGAACGATTGTGGAAGGATGTGACATCTTGCTGGATACAAGCCAGACTTTTGTACGCCAAGGTAAGTGTGCCTTTTACCTAAAGCTTACATGTAGTCTGCTTGATAATCCTTGCATTTGTATTTAATACTCCCTGCGTTTGACAGGGGGCCTTTCATGTCGGGAGGACATCTCAAAGCATTTCACAGGATTTGGTGTACAGAGTGGTAACTGTGAATTTTGTAGGTGTTAAAGAAAGACTAAGATGTAATGTGCAATAACACAGAGTGAAAGCATGACGATTTTAGTGTGAATTCCAGATGGTTGCCTATTGTGTAAATCCTTGAAAAAACTGTGTGTGATAGTGAATAGATATATAAGTGACTGGATAACTTACTGGATACAATCCAACCCTTCAACAACAACTTGCCTTTAAATAGTGCCCTTCAGCTGGGATGGCATCTCAGGGCATTCACCTGTGGACCTCATTTATTATCCAAATCAGACTGACTGAATTGAAGTTCTCCATTCTCTTCCAGCTATAAGAATGCAATAGATACAGAATCACTTGAGGAGTTTAAAAGAAGGAAAGATATTTAGGCAGCAAAAGTATTAAGAGATGCGAGAAAAAGATGGAAACGGGTTTAGAAAGATCAAGAGCTGCCATGATTTTACTATTAATAGGTTGAATGACCTGCTCTTCCTATGCATTGAGATCCTTTTTGTTTTGTTTTAGGCTCCTATTTCATTTTCCAATAGGTTTTGTGGTTTGATTTTGAGGTCACTGTGAGAATAAAATGCACTCAGATTACTGAAGGACTAAAAATGTCTGTCTTTCTGCAGTTTTTTGCTTGACTGTAATTTTAGGTTGGCAGGTGGTTGGCAGATTGAAATGGGCCTGTCATCATTGAATAATGCGTGGGTGGTTAGCATGTTTGATAGTGTTTGGTTAAAGGTTATAACATCATTCTGTCATTTAACCACTTCACCAGCATTACTCTATATTTGAACAAATGCTACTTTTGATGACAGTGAAATAAACTAAATTAGGGGAACTACGTTCAACATGTATTATTTATTTGTAAAAAAAATTACCAGAAGGAGTGTGTTTTTTAGTCTGATACGTGGTGGAAACCCTTCGTAGTGCTTAAGAGTTTCCAAACCAGATAGAGAGTTCCACGTATGTATGGAAATCTCCATTTGTCTGGTATAGAGTCCGCACTTGAGAGGGACATACATTGTTTACCTAATCCGGGTGTTGGGCCGGGTTGGGGGGAGTGAGTTAGGTGCAGGCAGACAAGTATTATGGCTTGGGGACCCTAGATTGTACAGTGAGGTGTTGCTAGTTTAATTAGCTAATTCCACACAACACCAACTATCTTCCTACTGCTTGCACAGCAAAGACAACCCTATCCCATGAGGGCTTTGGCTTGTAGGGTTGCAGGACCTGAGAGGAATGTCAGTCTCCAGTGGAAGACTGGATGGTGCAGTGGGTTGGCACACTGGGTTTCCAATACTTGGTCTTGGATTTGAATCCAGTCTGAACTGGTAGGATTCTCCTCTTAGCCAGAAGGACCTTAGTGAAATGAACCCATCAACAACAACAAACAACAACTTACATTTATATAGCAGTTTCAGAGACATTGGGATCGGAAAGAATGAAAAGGACAGCAGCGTGAAGGTGGAACGAGGAGGCAGAGAGAGCCCTGGTCTCAGTAGGAGACAATGTCATTTGTAACCAGGGCAGTCTTGATATTATGAGCATTATGGAAGTCAGGTTGGAAGGGTTCATGCAGGGTTTCAGAATAAAAAGACTAACATTTTACGTTTTGTTTGGACATATCGATTTCAACACTCTCCTTCATGGAATCTGACCGAAATCTTTCTGGCATTCCAGGTTCTCTTATACAGCTCCCTTCGGTGGAGAGAGGGAAGCTCACCAAAGTCCGTCTAGGCTCCCTTTCTTTGAAGAAGGAAGGAGAAAGGCAGTGCTTCTTATTTACAAAGCACTTTTTAGTTTGCACAAGAAGTTCCGGAGGAAAGCTGCATCTTCTGAAGGTGCCATTTAATTCTTTTTAAGCCTGTTTTTAAATCTGTTCTCCCCCCATCGCTCCCCCTCATACACCCCCCGTTGCATTCTACATTGGGATCGAATTAACAATGCTCGCAAAAGAATGAGAAGCTCTATTTGAAATTCTGCGAACAATCTGAGCGCTCGGATGGGGGTTGCTGATTACTGAAGGACACAAAAAAACACAGTAGGGTTACAGAGCAAAACAGGTGGCTGTGGTTTGCTCTCAGACCTTCTTCAGGCTTTGGTGGCTTTCGGAAGTCGTAATTAGCATTTTGCAAATATCACAACTAGAGCCATCAATAAGGTTAGCGAAGTGCTCCTCAGTAAAGTGGTAAGCTTCCTGGCAGCTGTATTTTGTGCAAGGCAAGGCATGCACATTACACTGACTTGCAAGACTTCATTTCCAGTTCGATCTTGCCTCAGCACAAGTAACCAACCGTTTTCCTTAGACATATTTTGTCAACCATAATAATAATAGCATCTAATAAACATGAAAACTGTTGTGTCATTGTTTTATAGAAGCAGAATCTGGACCGGATAACATATTTTTAAAATCTATAAAATAATAATGCTTGAATTTGATATAGTGCCTTATCACGTGCTAGAGATGTCTCAAAGCACTTCAGAGGGATATACTGTAAAGTGGTTTTGACTGTATATATTGTGGGCGAAACTCACATTCCGTTAGGCACAGCAAAGTCCCACAAACAGCCATGAAGTGCGTGACCAATTTTATTTGGGGGATTGTTGGTCAGGTCAGGATTCCCCTCTCTTTTCAAATAGTGCCTTGGGATTTTTAACGTCCATCTGAACAGGCAGACAGAACCTCGGTTTAACATCTCAGCTGAAGGACTGCAACTCCGACAATGAAACCCCCTTCTCCCCCAGCACTGCATTGCAGTGTCAGCTTACTCTGCGAGATTCCAAGTCCCGTGCTTGAACCCATAACTTTCTGACGCAGAAGCGAGCCAGGCTGACACTTTTAACTGCATTTTTATGAACCTGCACATGCATTTTTCAGTATTTTGGCTTCTTCAAGTAACTTATATAATGCTCATTGTCTCAGTTATAACTTGAGGTAGAACATATTGTATCGGCTTTCTATTCAAACACACCTTGTGTGGGTTTACCTGGTTTGTAGTTTCTCTGGGTCCTGTTGGAACGTCAGAACCACTCTGCGGGCAGAGGAATGAGGGTAGGGTGAGAGCATATTTGAAACCTACATTTTCCAATGTTCCTTATGCTGTTTTGGAGTCACAGAATTATAGGTTGAAAAATGTTCCTCTTTTAAGTGGCAGCATCACTGGCTCCTTGATGTGAGATACATTTTGACTAAAGTTTCCCATGAATTCACAGGGCAAATCTTTATCAGCCACTTACTTAACAGAGCAAATGAGAGCTATAACAACAATTATACAAGCTAGGGCTCTTCAGTCTTTAGAGAAGACAATTCAGATGGGACCTCATAGAGGTGGATAAGATTTTAATGGGATTGGAAAAATAAACTCGTATCAATGCTTTTGGATTCATCAAGAAAGTAGAACAAGAGGACACAGGTTTAGAGTTGTAAAGAGCAATTTCAGGACAGACACCAGGAAGTTTTTCTTTACACAGAGGGTAATTGATGACTAGAACAGGTTGCCAGGAAAGATGGTAGAGAGGCCAAGATACTGGATTCGTATAAAAAGCAGTTTGATGTTGTGATAAGTGCACTGTGAGCTGGATGTTCTGGAGGCCCGTGAGATCAGATGGGCCAAAGGGCATTCTAGAGAGAAGCTAAATGATTTCCATACTGACTGCTGCTGCTTTTACTTTCTTTAGACTGGAGGTGTTCTCTCCCTGATGGACTGCACTCTTATAGAAGAGCCTGACTCCAGTGAGGATGAATGTAAGTACAGTCAGTATTTCTGCAGATCATGAAGCCATAAATAAATGAAATTCTGCATTGCTCTTTAGTGGCTAGAGGCTCAGGTATGGCAACATGGGGAGCGTGAGCTACCTTGAAGTTGGTTTACTATCAAGGCAATTCGCATGTAACCGAATGAGACTAATTTGACACAGGGGATAACCTCACTCACCATCAAAACAGATTCCTACAGATTTTCTAGTTATTAAGATTGTACTTTTGATTTATGTGTGCTTTTTAGGATGGTAACAATTGTCCTTTATTTTGGTAAGAATTACTTGACAAAAATCGAGACTCAGGCAAACCTTAGCATTAAACTAGTATTAAGCGTCACAGGAATCTCTTACACACACTTGTGAGATCCCAACATCTTTACAATGCCCGAAAGTCAGATGGAGCAAATGTTTGCGTGAGGGTGTAGAAAGTACCAATATTGGGTATTGCACGAGACAGTAGACCATGTGCGTATATTTGTTATATTTGGTGGATTTCATTTCAAAACTGAAGTCGGTCTCTCTACTTTGAAAGCTAATAATCATCTACAAAAATTTTAAATATCTTCAAATATGGGGTATACTTTAAAAATCTTACTAACAATCATCTTATACAACTTCTTTCTAAAACAGAGTATGTAATAATAATTATCCTTGTAACTGATGTAGCGCCTTTCGCATCAGGAGGATGTCTCAAAGAGTTTTACTCTAAAATGCAATGACGCCTTTGTAGGTAACCATGGCAGCTAACTTTTTGCACAGCAGTGTTTCACAAACAAGTGTGAGGTGACAGCCGTATACAAACTAAATCAATTTTGAAGTTGAGAAAAGCCTTTTTCTGCTGAAGTTTACCCTTCTTGTACATTAAATTTCCCATTTTGGTATTGAATTGCATGTTGAATAACTATCGATTGACTCTATTGCCTTGCTTAGTCAATTAATCCAAACATTCAGCACTTTGAGAAAAGATATTTTCCAGATATTTGTTCAAAATGTACTTTGGGCTAACTTATATTGCATGTCTTCTGCTCTGTGCTCTTGGCTCACTTTGGATGCAAGGTTTGTGTTATGTGCACTATCCAATAGGTCATATACTTTTTGGTCCCACCTTCTCTTCAGTCTGTCATGCTCAAATTTTCCTTTACACTTGAGACCAGTGATTATAACCTCAATTAGGATATTTGATAGAAGTGATAGTAGACAAGGCCTCTTCAACAGTCCAATGGGAACAAACATATGCAAAGGAATCAAAGCTGAGTCAAGGACTGGAATATTCTCTTGCTCGGTCAAATAGGAAAAATGCTATTTTGTCACTTTTTCCAAAGTTAGCTTTCAATATTTTCTGCTCGGTGTGCTAACTTTTATTTATACTTTTTAGCCAAAAGCTCTGGACAGGTTTTTGGGCACCTAGACTTCAAAATTGTGGTCGAGTCTCCCGATGCTCCACCATTCACTGTTGTGCTGTTATCTCCATCGCGACAGGAAAAGGCTGCGTGGACAAGTGACATTAGTCAGGTAATTATCCTCATAGCCGCAGTTCAATGGAACATTAGGCTCCCAATCACTCATCATGATAGGGACAAAGTTCTTCCCACTCAGCTCCTGTTAACCCTGTAACACCTTGCGTGTAGGGTGGTCCTATCAGAAAGTGTTTTGAATGGAAAGCTATGCAGTTTTACCTGATTAAGCTCCAATAGTACCCGAATAATACACTCTGGGGTCCCCAAGCCTTGTCTCTTGACAACCTGCACCTCGTACCCTCCAGATTTACATCCGGAAGCAGGGTGTGTCCCTCCGGGGAGAGAGTATGCGTTCCATTAGACACAGAAATTTCTATGTCTAAATGGCATACGTGCACTCTTAGTCTGATTTGGATACACTGATGGGTTTCGCATGTGTCAGGCATCCAGCTGAGGATTTGGATGATCCCAGCTATAATTTCCAGTCAGTCAATTTCACCAGATTGGCACAAGCTGGCCTCAGTTCTCACCAGCTCGAGAGGAGACATGTAAGAATCAGCCAGGTTTCCCATTCCTAATTGCTGTCCAGCAACTGGAACATTTGTACATGTGGATATGGAATGAAAGTTGGAACAGGCTTTGTTGTGATACCTTCTCCCCCCCTCCCCACACATGATGTCTGCCAACAGTGACAATCACACACGAAGAATGGCCACTTGGGATACATACAAGAGGGTGGTCAGTGCATGTGGAATGATAACCGAGCACATTAGTTTTCAGGAGAGGAAAGGAAAAAAATAGAAGTTAAAGGAACACCCACCCCTGCAAACCATGTGGTTCATAAAATTATTTTAGATTTCCATTTTCTTCCTTAGGACCCGAAAAAGGAAAGTTTTTTGAATCAAATGGATAGCCAGGCTGTCAATTGGTCATTCCATTTTTAAACAGTAGAAAATAAGAGTGCAAAAGAGTTTCAGATGAGGAAGCCCTTTTAATAATAATAATCCTTGCATTTGATATAGCGCTTTTCACGTCGGGCGGACGTCCCAAAGCGCTTCACAGAACACACTAAAGTGAATTGACTGTATATTTGTGGGCGAACGCGGCAGCCAATTGCGCACAGCAATATCCCACAAACAGTCGTAGATTGAAAATGACCAATTTATTATTGTTTTTTTTGATTTTGGAGGGATTATTATTAGGCGTGTGGAGTAAGGAAACTTGCCCAAGGTTTCGCCCTGCCTGGAATTGAACTCAGGTCTCTCAATTGCAAAGCGAGTGCTCTAACCACTGAGCTACAGGACTTTTGGCCCATTTGAAATCATTCTTCCATAATACCCACCCAGGAAGAACGCTGGTATTTATTGCAGGGTGTGAAATCAAAATGCCTGTAAAGGTATCTCTATTGATTTATTTCTAACTGTTTGCCCTTGGTATTTGACAGTGCATAGACAACATAAGATGCAATGGTCTGATGAACAACGTGTTTGAAGAAAATTCAAAAGTTACAGTGCCTCACATGATTAGGTAAGTGTGGTGCCAGGGCATTAATTACAGTAATTACAATATGCTGTTTGTTAGCAAGTATGGTTCTGGTTTGTTAGTTAAAGCATATTAATTAGCTTGTTATAGATTAATAATGTGTTTTATGCATCAGTTATGGTAGGTTTAAGGTGTTTATTAGTAAGTGTGGTATAAAAATTACAGTGAACCATTGTAATGCCCTTTAAATAGAGTCAAAGCAATCGATAAATCTAAAGGAAATTAATAGAGCTAATTAAACAAAAAAAACTCAGAAATAATGAAAGTAAAGGGCACAGAAACTGAAGGTTCTGCCATTATAGTCAGTTATTCAAACTTCCTATCACCTGTTAGGTATTAACAAAACAACCCATTAATCTGTTTAGTTTAATTGGGATGTCCTCCCGACATGAAAGGCGCTATACAAATGTAATCTTGTTGTTGTTGTATGATGCGACACAAACAACTGTCAATCTTAATCTTCAACCCAAATCTTTCTGACATATGGTTTTGAGGTTACATCACATGCTGTAGAATATATTCCTCATATTGTACAAAAGTGTAAAATGCCAGGATTTTTCCTTATTTCCTCAGATCTGATATCCGACTTCACAGTGATGATATTGATATCTGCTTCAGTAAGACACTGAACTCCTGTAAAGTGCCACAGATTCGCTACGCCAGTGTCCAGCGACTTCTGGAGAGACTAACCGATTTGCGCTTTCTCAGCATTGACTTCCTGAACACCTTCCTTCACACCTACCGTACATTCACCTCTGGACTGGTGGTCCTAGAGAAACTGACTGATATCTACAAGAAGCCATTCACCTCCATCCCCTTCAGGTAAGATCCAACAAAGCAAAGTCTTAATACACAAGTTCTTACTTAAGTAGTTCATAATTGAGGGATTTCCTGACCTTTGATCTGATGTGCTTCTGAAATCCAAAGAATCACTTTTGAAATTTCTGCATTTTAGACCTTGCAAATTAACACTGAATATAATAATTTTCCAAAATTCACAGCAAATTAATTGCTGATAATTTTCAACTGGAATGAGTTACCAGAAAAAATGGTAAAAGCCAGAACCCTGGACTCATTTAAGAAACAACATGGTGCTGTAACGGGGAGATGATAGGGTGGTTTTGGAGGTTGAGATCAAATGGGCCAAAGGGTGTTCTTATGGAAACATCTCTTGTGATCTTGCATTTTAAGACAATAATCTAAGACTTTCAGTTGTTAACTGACCTACTGTGGATTTCTAGCATCTGTGGTTTTCCCCTTGTTCTGAAAGATTTGGACGGGTACTATTTTCTCTTCTCTTTGACCGAGCCTTCAGCTCCCCTCTCGACTCTCTTCCCCCTCCTCGCTCCCTCCCTTCCCTCCCCTCACCCTGACCATTTCCCCCCTCCTTGCTTCCTCCCTTCCCTCCCCTCACCCTGACCATTTCCCCCCTCCTCGCTCCCTCCCTTCCCTCCCCTCACCCTGACCATTTCCCCCCTGCTCGGGTCATGACCCAACTGTGCAGCGCCTTGGGACGTCCTCCTGACGTGAAAGGCGCTTTATAAATGGAATCTTGTTGTTGTTGTTGTTGTTTAATAGAAAAGCTCAATATCTGCTCTAATTGGGACTAAACATATTGCAGATAATGTAGCGGCAGTGTGGATAATGGGCTGGCTGCGTGTGCATATGTGTGTCTCTCTCTTTGGTTCTCTTTGGTTCTCTGTTCTTACCTTGTTCTGCTGGTTCAGACCCACTTTGACACTAGACTTCCAAATATCACACCTGGCATTAACCTCCAAGCATGCTGCGGTGTTCAACACAATACGATTTATATCGCTCCTTGTACATCTGGAGGACATCTCAAAATGTTCTACTGTAATTTGAGTCATTTTTCTGAATCTGAAAAATAAACGTTTTCATTCCCAGGTCACTGGAACTATTTTTCGCGACTAGTCAGAGCAGCAGGTCAGAGCACATGAACGATGGAAAATCCCCTCGATTGTGCCGCAAGTTTTCTTCGCCTCCTCCGCTCTCAATCTCCCGGACCTCATCTCCCATCCGAACTCGAAAACTCTCCCTCAGTTCTCCTGTGAATTCTAGAGTAGGAGCTCTCGACCTTTCCACCACCTCCTCCTCCACCTCCTCCTCCTCCTCCTCCACCTTGAGCAATCCTACCTCTGCTTACACCCCAAATACCTCTCCACCTCCCGTAGCGACTAAAGTACCACTCGATCTCAGCAAAGGCCCCTCACCCCCAGATCAGATTCCCCTGTCGACAGAGGAAAATTCAGAGCATCCCCGTGTTGATATAAGCAAGTTACGAAGAAGCTTCAGGAGAGGTACAGAAAATACTTTACTTTGGTTTAGATTTATTAACTTTTTTCTCACTGTGATAGTCCCTTGCTTGAATATGTTTCCCTTCCGAATACAGTATTTGATTTGCATTATAGCCTATTGGGTCATTCAGTTGCTACACATGCTCCAGGCAACAGGACGGGTGGGCTGTGACTTCATCAATGCCCTTAATCTTGGTCTTTGGTAGTTCAACAAATGGATTTTCAGTTTTACAGCTTCCCCATTGAACTGCTTAAAGTCAGCCATCTGTGTTCACAACTTAGACATGAGGCTAGAATGGTCTTGTCTGTTGACAGCTATATGGACAAAACCAGTCCTTAGCAAACTCCTTCAGAAGATGTACCTGAAAATATACTTCTGTTCAGCAAGTAAATCACCTCACTGAGGGGAGACTGTCGAGTTTTGCTCTCAATGAGATGACATCAAACTGGTTCCATTGAGGAACTGAGAAATTTCCCCTGATTGAATTCAATGACTTTAGGCAGACCTGGGTCACAGATCAATCCATGAGCAAGCATCGCACCGCACCACATTGCCTAGCCAGCCAGCGTGCGTTGGGGCCAATTTGACCAGCAGACCAGAGGTTATCAAGGTAGGTTGTTCAATGACTGCCATCACCTGAGCATCTGTTGTCACACATGCTTGCCACAAACTGGGAGAGCCTAGATGCAGGTCTATGGGAACAAACATGACCAAGAAATAGGAATGTAGCAGGAAATTCCAAATGTCAAAGAGCCACACTTTTTATAAAAAAAGGGAGTGATTGATTATCAAAAATATATTGATTAGTAGTGGTGAGCCTATATTTTGGATAACCTTATAGTGTCCATTTGTTTGCCTTTTTTTACGTATTTATTATTGGTGGTGTCTGTTTTTCATTAAAGATGAAATAAAGATGAGATAGCTCACAGTTAGATGGACGCCAGTAATTTTTCTGTGCGATTTATATTAAATCTAAAGATCAACAAGCAATGCCCTTTATAGGGACACACCTTTAGGGGATTGCCCATGTAAGCTGTTCATAGCCCAGCTGTGAGGAGATTGCTCTCAGTGTTTTCCAAAGTTCAGAATTTTGATCCATTTTCACTGAACATTTTCTTCAATTTAATTCAAAGCAAGAGGCAACTGAATTCATTTACATTTTGAAGGCATTTGCCACAAGAGGGTACATCTGTCTTGCTAAGTAATCCAATAACATGAAAGCCAATTGATGTTGCATCATTATTTGGCAAAATGTATTCTGCCTTTGAAAAAAATCCACGATGAGAGCATCATAGAAACTATGTTATTGGAACAGGACAAGTTAAATTCATTAGGTTTCTGAATGAAGTCCCAGCATGGGGCTTGCATTGTTTCTAGAAACATAGAAATAGGAGTAGGCCATTCAGCCCCTTGAGCCTATTCTATTACATTCTATAAGACCATGGCTGATCTGTACCTCAAGTCCAATTACATGCCCTTGCCCCGTATCCCTTAATACCCTGACCTAACAAATATCTCTCCACCTCAGTATTGAAGATGTGAATGGATCCAGCATCCACAGCCTTTTGGGGGAAGAGAGTTCCAGATTTATACTACCCTTTGGGTAGAACAATGCCTCCTAATTTCATTCCTAAATGGCCTAGCTCCAATGTTAAGATTATGCCCCCTTGTTTTGAATTCCCCCACCAGAAGAAATAGTTTATCTGTATACCCTATCAAATTCCTTTATTATTTTAAAAACCTCAATCAGATCACCCATCAACTATCTAAACTCAAGAAGTTGCACTGGTTAAATCTCCCCTTGTAAATTAGGCAGGTTTGGATCTTGAAACAAACAGAAGGAATACAAATTGAGAGTTTTGTAGAGAGAAAAAAGAAAATTTACACAGTGGTTTCTTGAGCTCCTGCTGGATGTAAAGGGGGTGGAGGTTGATGGCTGTAATACAATAGAGGATGTGGCATATGGCAAAACCATATGGCAAAACTCAAGTAGTTTCTGTAACATCATCTGCACCCTGCAGTTATGTGAGGATTTGAGCTGCCTTCCAGGTATCTAGGATTATATACCAGGTCTCAAAATCTTATATTTATCAGAATCTGTAAAAGATGTAGTATCTCAAGGCCACACTATTACACAAACAAGGCTGCTGCTCCCTAGTTTGTTGTGAATCAAAAGGGAATTACACCTCGTTGTGATGTAAGCAAACCCAGCATTATTCCAACCCATGATTGGTGTTCGGGGTTTTTTTTGTTTTTCCCCCAGAATTACTTGGTTATAAAACTCAAGGTCTACCCTACTTTATCTCTCTGCCTCCACCCTCAATTCCAGGACAACTGACATCCTGAGAAATTATCTGTCTGACATCAATTCCTGGATGAGAGGCAACTTTCTACAACTGAATGACAACAAGACTGAAGCACCTCAGGCACTGGCAGCATCAGCGATCATGGTTGCACACTCCACCTCACCAAGCCAGTTGGGAACCTGGGCATCTTGTTCGACCCTCAACTGTCCTTTCTCCCCCATATAGTGTCATGACCCGCACTGCCTTCACCCACCTCCGCTACATTGCCCGACTTCACTGTCTCACCCCTCATACATGCATTCGTCACCTGAAGGCTCGACTATGGAAACTCCCTCCTTGTTGGCCTCCCCAACTCATCCCTCCACAAGTTGCAGATCATCCAGAACTCTGCAACTCGTGTCCACTTCCACACCAGGTTCCGTGACCCCATCACCCTCGCCCGGCTCCACTGGCTCCCCATCCCTCAGAGGATAGAATTCAAGATCCTAATATGGATTCTGCCTCAACCACTGCTCCTGGCAGGGCATTCCATCTCCTAACTACTCTGTGTTTTACCTATAAAGTAAATATGTCTCAAAATATTTTACAGAATTTCTGTAAAGTGTGGTGACTGTTTATTTGTTTATTTGTAGATGAAAATGCATTGGAATTTTACTCATTGTTCTGGGTTCAAAACTAAATTCATTTAACAGTATTCATCCTTTGTGAATAGCTGAGTAAATTATTAACTAGCTAGTTTATACAAAGGTATAAACCTCTCAATGCTTACATCAGAAAGAGGTTGTAAGGCCTTTTCTTTATTATTTATATAACTGTATCCTTTCCTTTATAAACTTCATTAAAAAGGAACATTTTGGTGTTTTGGTCACCAAAAAAAAAGCCTAACATTAAAAAAGGTTCACTTTTTTGTTTCTTAAAAAATTGTAACAACCCTTTGCATGTGGCGTATTCAGGCATCCGACAGAAAACATTTGTTAACAGCGTTCTCCTCAGACAACAGCTACTCAACCATCATGGTAAGATGTATCTAAGAGTTTTAGATAAGTCATTCAAAGTAGTAAATTACACCTAAGAAAGAGTTAAGGCTGGAGATTAGGAATTAGGTTGCATCTGTAGAGCAGTCAAACTTTGCTTTTCTAGTTTATGAAATTATTTTGGACTCTTGGTGGATATTATGTATATTGTGTAGATATAATCTATCCAAGGGAGTGAATTTTCTTGTTATTTGTACAATTTGATAGTATTGTCTTGCATCAGAATCCAATATGTTAATGCCTTAGCTCACAAAATCTAATGCTGCCTCATTCCACACATAATACAAATTGATATGCCTTTGGGATTTTTATCTTTAAATAATATTTGGAACCCTTACCTGTTAATCTGAAGTAAGCAAAAGTACTATAAAGAAAATTCACTGGTAGATATGTATTATAAACCAGCCAGTAATATAGTCATAGGCTTTAGACAGCAATGCATTGTTGCATTGTTTTCATTGCTTATCGCACCACTAAAGCCTTCAAAATATGGTTACTGTCTTTGCAATTCACTGAGAGGTATCTATTCTCCTTGTAAGTACTATTTTTGCCTCTTTCTGTCTGCTTTTCCATTTATTAGTTGAAGCTTGCATGTGCAGTATTATCAGAACATAGTGGGCACTCCCCAGATATTAATAAACACTATTTAGGATCATCTCACTATAATCAGTGGTGCTGGGTAGATGCCAGATAAGGGTTTTTATTGAAGCTGCTCAGAATGGATCTGGGTCATCACAACAGTTTAGTGAATTTGTTGCATAAAACACAATTTACTATTTAAAGGTATTGATAGCATTTTTCAATCACATGTTAATTTACCCCAACATCACAATTTTAATTTTTTTCAGGTTTTGCTGTAAAGAGGGAGTCACATAAGCTCCACACACTCAACAGTCAATTTACTGTAGTGAAAGGTTATTATAAATTAACATCAGAATGAAGTAAAGCAAGGCCATTTCAATAGGTCTTTACTACAATGGTGCAGTAAAATATACCAATGGTGCTGATTTATTCTGAGTTGAAGCTGTTCAGTAGAAGCGTCAGTGAACCTGAATTACTAGTAATCTGTTTACTGTGTGGGAGCAGTACTCTTTCAGTGCTGTGACCCTTCTGTTATCCACTACTCAACCAGTACTCAGCATTGGTGTGTTGCAGAAGGTATGTTACAATTTTAGAAGTTGATAACTGTCGGTGTAGATTGGTAGGACATGCTACCCTCCCATGACGCCTCTCACACTGTTCTTGGTACCAGCCGTGAGCTGAGTGTAAGTCCCTTTTGGGGTTACTCTTGTAGACTTTCTGTCAACTGCTTAGAGAATGGGAGAGGTTGAGAAGCAGCTCACCTCTTAACTGGGGGTTGGTGCAGGGCACTGGGACAAGATTGGAAAAAGCAGATAGGACAATTGTCACTTTTGATACAAACAAAAAAAGACTATTGGGTCCTCAGGATAATTGTAAAAGTAAAAAGAGACAAATGGGGTATATTTTACTTTGAGTGCTAAAAGTAGATTTTTTTTGCTACAGTTTTACAATGGATTTTACAGTTGGAAAGTCAAGAGAAATTGGTGCTGTATTTTATTAATTTAAAATAACTTCCAATAATTACCCCAAAATATACTTTTGAATTGCATGTTAAGCAATCTCAGGGCTGCAATATTGTGT